ATAAAATTGATAATATAGCTGCAAAATAGATTAGTTATAAAATTTGAAATTTAAAATGCTCGAAGTAAGGACCATTGTATCCTATAGAAAATGTCTTAAAACTTATAATGAAGGGGATATTGGGGAGAAATGTTTGTTTTTTTTTTGTTCTATGTACCTTGCAATGTATAATAATCTTGACATATATAATTTGTAATATAAGCCCTCTTTCTTTTATATCCCCATTATATTATACTTTGCTTTCTCTCACACACACACACACACACAATTGGAGACCCGCAAGAAATTTGCGGGATGGTTATCTCATTCGTCACACCTTTGCTTCCTCTCCTCACCCCCTACCTCTCTCACACTATTTCTCCCCTCTGCCCCCCTTTTCTTACTCTCTATTTCTCCTCCATGCATGTGACTTCCTCTCTCTTTCTGACCTGTCATCTTTCTCTTCGTTTTTCTGCCTCCCCACTTCATCACTCTTTCTCACTCTTTCTGCCCCCACCCTATCATTCTTTCTTTCTGCCAGCCTCCTGCCTGCTTCTTCCCCTACTCCGCAGAGCAGCAGCAGCAGCGGTGGCAGTGCTCCTAGCCACCCACCTGCTTCCTCTCCCCCCACAGCAGCAGTGGCAGCCAGCCGTCTGGGAATCACAATGGATCTCCCAGCTACAGAGATCAATTCACCTTAGGGCTGCCAGCTCCAGGTTGGGAAATTCCTGGAGATTTGGGGGTGGAGCCTTGGGACAGTGAGGCTTGGGGTGGCAAGCAGCCTCAGCAGGGTATGATGCCATAGACACCCCTCCAAAACAGCCATTTCATCCTGGGGAACTGATCTCTGTCGCCTGGACCACAGTTGTAATTCTGGGTGATCTCCAGTCCTCACCCGGAGGCTGGCAATGGTGGTTCTCGTGGAGTAAATGGCTGGAGGGTAGAGTCTATGACATTACACCAGTCCAGAGGTCCTCCCCCTCCTCAAATCCCACCCTCTCCAGGCTCCACCCCTCAAATGTACAGGAATTTCCCAACCTGGAGTTGGCAACCCTATTTCCTTCCCACCCAACAGCCAACCTACCTTTATCTGCCTCTCTGTCTTCTGCTTTCCATCTCCACGACCAAGCCTCTACCTAGGAAAATTACAGTCTTTCTCCACAGTGGGGACCAAAGCAGCTTGCATTATTCCCTCCTCCTTTTTATCTGCACAACAACCCTGTGAGGTTGGTTAGGCTGAAATATGTGACTGGTCCAAAATCACGCAGCCAGCTTCCACTGCAAGATGGGGATCTGAAACTGGGTCTTGCAGACCCTACTTTGAAGCTCTAACTGCTGCAACTCACTGGCTTTCATAGGGTGGCTGCTGATGAATGGTGGCAAGCAGCCGAGGCTAGGTGAGTCATGCAAATCAGGGGGGACCTGGCAACCCTAGTGT